ATGGATGATAGTAAAGTGATGGGTGAGAAATCTTTAAAAATGAATACAAACGCAATCGAATCCAGTATATATATATAGTATATTCTAACAGTAAGTCATGCAACAGATTCTATAAAATCCCTAAAAATTTTTAAAATTGGTCATAAATGTTATCAGTCACCCCCAAACCGAACACAAAGTAATTGCGGCAATTTTGTAAACACATTTCTGAATTTGGCAATTATAAAATTTTGTAACTCCAAATATCTGCATTAAGATCCTTCTGTAAAACGATAAAAGAACTGATGTTTCGTAAAAAGTTTATTCTTACAAAAAAGTATGATAAATATTTGAAAACACTACATAATATTTTCTTATAATACGAATTCAAAATATTTTTTTTGTATTTTTGTTTGTTTTCATTATATTAACGATTACTAAAATATCGGTTTGTAATCCTCAAAATAATTGTCATACTTTGTTTATATAAGTCGTATTTGTGAACATGAAATCTTTATTATTTCGTCAGATATCATACCAATAAACGGTTTTTGAAGATACGAATGAAATTATCACCAAGAACTAGTTCGTCTTTGCTAAAAAATAAGGCATCACCTCATTTAAAAAGACATCTTTTCTCAGTTTTTTCTTTCAAGGGACAAAATTATTCTTCAATAACTGGTCTAAACCAAATAATTCACAAGTAAATTCTTTAAGGTTGGTGATTTTATTGAATGATCACATTGGGAAAAATATATCATATGTATCAAGAGTTTTGATTGAAATAGAAATAAAAAATTGGATCCAACCCTGTAGATGCTGGAGTCTCATTTGCGAACTAACTGTGTTTTTCAGGTCTGCTTTATCCCACAACAGCAACTTTCGTTTTGTAAGCAGGTGTTAAGTAGTATTCAACTACCTCCAAGATTTGAAGCGGTAGTTACGTTTGAAATACCGACCTCTAACCTTTTCAGCTGTTGTTTTCTGTTATCGCATAAAAATGCTTATGCCTGTATTCCTTTGAGAGGCAGTCAAAGCAGCAACCGCCTATAAATACCACTTTGCGCTAGTCTTGACATTGTTCAGAGGTTACGGCATGAATAATATCGAAACCCTTGCGCGCATTTACTGCCTTTTACGACACGATTGGGAAGAGAGGCATCTTCTTCATGTTTTGCTAAGTTCTTACAAAACGCAGATTTTAGGAATCCTAAGTTGTAAAAGTAAAAATTAAAGTAACGGCCTACTAGTGTCCCATTGATGGTAAAATCCTTCTCTACGAAGGGTATTAGGGTATAGTCATGCAGAATTCTCATATCTTCAAAATATTTTATTATTATTATTATTTCAAAATTTATACTCTTCTTCACAAAGTTTTAAATTCTTCAATTATATCAGTTGTACTTTTAAATAACGCATTGTCTGGCATTCATAAGCTTTGGGCACCTTGTCCTCTAGATCAATCATTTAAGAACGACCACGAACGAACCAGGAGATGAAGCTTCCTAATAATTCGGGTGGATGACTATTTTTACAATGACATCGCATCCACAAGGACTAAAACTTTTTACACTGTAATTTGGTTGAAAACAGCGGACCTTTCTGGATAAAAGTAGAAATTTTTAATTAAAAAGACTGCCGCTGTAACTAGAAATTGACCTAAGGTTATTTGAAATTCAAGGCGGCTGCTCGACTTAACAGTCGCGGTACCCACTCTTTAATAATATTGAGTTAGCACAAAAGGGGAATCGCAAAACAAGAGTTCAAATTTATAGGAATCCAGTGAATTATTTGCTTTTCCGTTAATTTCCATTTACTTTTCTATTTTAACCTTTCGTCTTACATATCTACAATGGTCGTCTTATGGGCGCAATCCTGAAATAAATTATTCATTCAATTCGAAAATGCTATCCGTCACTGAGGCTCTATAAATCCTACTACGATGCGCCACTCCAGGTGACGCGGAGGCTATTGAAATTCTGAAAGCAGAGCAAATATAAAGTCAACACGGCACGGTCTGCGATTAATATTAAATCCACATACGCTATCCAAATAAGCATTTTATTATTTTGAACAAGCATTGCCTATGAATAATATTTACTCTGCTAAGATCTGTCATAATTAAAAAACCGATTCGGTTTTTTACCATAACTCATGTCACAGAGAAATTTGTGCTGTCACAACAACATAATAACATTTTCAAACGGAAGCTGCTAGTTATCAATGGTTAAATATTGACTAGACGTAATTATGATATTGTCCATCTGATGCTAGAAATTACATTGCTTAATATAGTAAACGTAATCAGTTAAACAAAAACGCTCTGGCCTATTTTGTACGGATTTACAATTTCCAATTATTTCTTTTGTGGTTGACTGTTGGATAACAGAAACTTATCCATTGCGTACAAATTAAGCAAATTGTGACTTTCACGAAACATTACCTTAGAATTTTTCATTATTTTTAGTCATTTAAATTGGTACATAACCTGTAAAAGTAAAAAGAAAAGCACATTTAGTGTAAAATAACACAGGCCACAATGTTTACACGAATTCCCAAAATAAGGTTTAATTTCTTATCTCACGAGTAACCTCTCTTTAAAATTTGGTGCTGGCACTAATATAATCGATCTGTATAGTTATATGTAAATACAGATTTTCTTGAATATTTGTCAATTGATACATGACCTAAAATCATAAGGACATCAAAAGTATCATGAGAAACTCCGCAGCCTATTAACTAAGCTGTAACCTCAAATCAGGAGTTTGCTGTTTCATGCATAATGCTTATAGCAGAGAATTTAACGTTCCATTAGCCATTGGCAACGCCTCTACAAGTCTCTACGGGAGATGCAAACGTTAGTGGGCGGGCAATGTGCAAGAACTCATTATATTTACAAAAAAATAATACACCATACCTAATTTGACATTACCTGCCTGGTTAAAATTGGTACTAATATTTATATATTGATTTTAGGTAAATTAAAGAAGAATGTTATACTTGAATACCATTAAAATTATATATTCTTCTGGAAGCAAAAATTGCATATTCTCGCTTCATTGAGTCGTAGCGCAGTTTGTCTAAGAATAGTTCACAATTTTTTTCTTTTAAATTTTTGTGTGTAAACTTAGACAAATAAATTATGTATAATGATGTTTCATTTTAAATTAACATTAGGCAGCGTCAGAGAAAACCAGCCGACTGTTAGGGGGAAAAAAGAAAAGGACTATGCGCCTGCTATTAAAATCATTATTCACATAAGTGTAAGAATTGAATATATATTATAAATGATCGACATCGATTATATCAGACGACACTTACTATTTTTGTAGTAATGTAGGTAAATGAGTATGGTCAAGCTAGATAATGTTTATTTATTATGTTCTAAGAACTGCTACGTTTAACCATTAAAAAGGAGGATGATGAGGCCCATTTAATGCTAGTAAACGCCCAGTAATTTCCTTTTATCTAAAAAAACTTCATATTTTTCTTTATTTTTAAAAATATTAATTTATCCAAAAAAGATTGCTACACATTTACACAAAAAATTAGTATCGCAACAATATTTTACAACATATTTCGTTATTTCAATATAACGACATATTTGAATATTTACGAATCAGTGTTGCCAATTATACTTATTATGAAGTGATTTCCTTGGTTTAATAGATTTTTAACAAGTTAATAATAATCTGTCCATTTGTTACAATATAAGTTAAAATTATTTTTATCATAATACAGGTTTTATTTAAATAACAGGAAAACATAAATAGCTTTTTGTTTAATTGTGATTGGGCGTGTTTTCACACAAATACCTATTAATTGGATATAATTGCAAAAATGCTGTTGCACATTGCAGAGAATACTAAAACAAGACTATATAATAGAAGTTATATTACGATGCAGTGTTTATAATAAAAATAACAGTATTTAAAAATTAATGAAATAGTTCAACTAAAACCGATATTGATTTATTCGATTTCTTTGTCTATTATTTGGCAACATCTATGTCATTTTAAAATGTCAACTTACAAATCAACTTATATTTGTATTCGCGTGTGCGTTTTGAATTAGGGTTTTTTGGTTGGTCACGGCACCAAACCAATATATACCCACCCCCTCAATTCCTGGACGATGTTGGCTTAGCGTGTTTGACACCCAAAATAATGTGTAAAAAAAGACAAATGTATTTGCAATTCGATAAAAAGCAGGCTTTTTATGAAAAATGAAAATATTTTTTTCTTAAAGACCCTTTTTTTAAGCCAACTTCCTAACCAGTTCCTTATTTATATTTCATATTGTCATATTATACTTTTCTATGTGTGCACTTGTAGCCGAAGTTGGTAGGACTGGTGAGCATTCTTTTTTATTAATTTCCCAATTAAAATGGATTTATATAACTGGAGTAATTAGTATACAAACACAAACACGTTTATTTTAGTAGCAGCCCGAATAACAATTACATCAAAACGTTTTAGAATATCCAAAAGAGCCTTACGTTTTCTCAGACCGAAATTCTAAAATAAAGTTAGGAAATAAATTTACAATACACTTATAACCACTTTAAAAATATTACGAAATTAATGGATAATACTTGAAACAAATTTTGTAAGAAAGGCCATTTTTTAAGGAATAAGAGCCAATAAATTGAATAATAGTTTGAAATTTATTGTTTTAAGTAAATTAACTGCACCAACGATTTTTAGCTAGTATTTTATAGCAGTTTCGTTCAATTGTTGCTTGATATACAAGAATTTCTACATTTATTACATATAATATGATGTGGCCCATTAAATTTCTAAGTTTATAATGTTTACTTCGTATACAAAGTAGATATCATAAAATAAATAATTAACACTGTAATGATGCAAAGCTCTATAAAAATGACATGATTTTCTGTTTTGCATGCTTGTATTCAAAACGGCAAGGCTATTGCATATATAAATGGTATAATAAAATATAAATAATAATTTCAAATGACAATTAAAAAATACAGCAACAGCACAAAATTTAATACGTACTTCTTCAAAGAATATCCAATATAAATGTTAGATAACACATTGGCGAATTTGTGATCACCGATATAATATTCACTGCACTCCACGCGTTTCAAATTGTAACAAGGACGCAATAAAATTTCGGACAGGAGTTCACTCGGAGAGGGGCTGAATGGAACTGAATCAGGAGGGAGAGTGCGGGAGCGCTGTGACGTGTACAAAACCAAGCCCCAATCAGCGTACACTGCCACATATTGTATTGCTTTTATCTCATTTTTTTTCTCTTGTAAAACCAGCTTGTAAAGTCATTTTCCAATAAGTAATCCAAATAGTGTAAAGAATTCAAAAGAATGTTAAATATTTTAGATGTATTTTTTAATTTTAAGGACTGGACTCACTCAAATGAATATAGAATGACTAGATCAAATTGTCTCTAATTCTTTAACTATAGATTTACTATCGCTTAGTTCTACAGTATTTTAGGTAGACTATATTATATGTTCAATGTTTGGTTATTACATAATGTCATAGAAGCGGAAAATCAGGTTTTCTTTTCTCTAACTTATCAGAATTTTGTATTCCATTTTATTTTGCAACATATTGATGCACTTCACAAAACATTTCAATATTGCACAGTTAACAATGGTTATAATGAGTTCGAATAAACGTTTTTAGTAGATAGCACTGTACGTAATTTACATTATACCGAGACATATATTTGTATAGACGACGTAGATGTCATTTGAATGCGTAAAATACTGAAAAGAATGTTCAATATTCTTTTAGAAAACTAAAATGTCCGTGTAGAATAAAATTCTATAAATTTCACCATAGAAGAAAAATATTTAACTCACTGATGTTTTGAAGAACAAATTCTAAAAGTTATATAAAGTAAGTTTGCCCTAAATCTCAACAAATGAAATTCTCAAATATTTATATAAAATGGAAAACATTCATCATTATAATATGTCTATGAAAAGACCGACAATTCGCAATCAAGCACATTGGCGGCTATATGCCATTGATGCATATTTGTATTGATTAAAACTGATATCAAGGATCTACTCTAAAATTGAATATTTTTTTATGTGAGAAGGTGGCAAGCAATCTGGCGGTTCACTTTTTTCTTTCGCTTTTAATGAAGTAGGCCCCGGTCACCTCGCTCGCCAGACCAAACGCAGAAGTTATAACAGTTTCACTCCACGCCGGTCTTCTGTGAGGTCGTACTACTTACCCGGACGGACCTGCCCATTCATGCAACAACGAAGAATGTTGTGTAGCAATGTGTGTTCCACAGTCAACATTTAAATCTAAATACATTTTATTCATTTGTATGAACTACGTATATGTCGTCATTACCTAGGGTAATATCATACCTCATTTCTCTCGTTCATAATTAACTAAGTCTCTATGTCTGAGGTAGCAAATCTAAGATATAATGGTCTTGTAAACAAGGGGCAGCTAAAATTGAGGCAGAAAGGCTAGCCAAGAATAACCAATAATATCACCTATGTTATTGGTATATTCGGTTAACTTATCAGTATATTATGTGCTTCTAGTTAATAAAAGTGACAAAAAGTGCTACCCAAATTAATTCTGATATAACATCAACATCTGGCACAGAAACAAGTTTCTAATACATTTGTAAATATATCATGTAGGAGGCGCGCCCCTTTCATCATATTAATAATGCGTACCAGTCAAAGGAGGTTTCTTCAAGTGATAATTGATTTAGTCAGACAGTAGATCTACAACTTCACCGTAATTTAATTCTAGATGGGATTACCAGGAAACGCGAAATGACAGAGAAGTCAAAGTAAAAGTTGTGATGACAATCGATATTAGTGAAAAGCGCCGTCCTCAAATAACTGGAAAAAGATAAGGCAGATAATGATAACGATTTTAGTGAAGTGCAATTTTATGCCAATAAAAGTATTTTTTATGAAAATAACATTCCACCATCATATTTAAGGTGAATTAAATAAGGGAAGTTCAAAAAAGGGAATTAAAAATCGAAGTATTTTTTGTAGGAATTCGCATATCTATCTTCATATATATTATATACTATCTATTATATACGATCTATGAATATAATGTTTACTAAAAGTTCAAAAAATCTATTAATTATTTTGCCTTGACATCTTTGTACATTGGAAAAACGAAAAAAAAAAAAAAACAATTATTTTCAATACATGAGTAAGGCTTACATTGTTGGGATGCTTGCCCTAAATCACAATAAATTAGATTTTCAATTACAATTTAAAGTATCACTCTGCTCTTTTGTCAGTGTTAAAGCAAGACATACCTATTAAGGAGCCGTGATAGCTCAGTGTCCGGGCGCTCGCCTTTATTTCAATATACTCGAGCAACCTGAGTTCGATCCCCGGTGCCGGCACCAATGAAGTTTTTAACTTTAAGTACTGACTTATCACGTGCTCCGCGGTGAAGGAAAACATCGTGAGGAAACCTGCATATTTTCGAAATAATAACAAAAAAAAAATATTTTTCAAAGATATGTGAAATCCGCCAATCCGCAGTGGGGCCGCGTGGTGGACCATGCCCTGATACCCTCTGTATAGAGGAGGCCTTTATCCAGCAGTGGGACATGTATAGGCTGTTACTTTACTTTTTTTATACCTATTAATGAAATTGGGAAATATTGAACATAGCAGAATTGTCAAATAAAATGTATATAAAGTACGCCATTTTGCAACGTGCTTGGGTGACGAGAAATGAAAAATAATTATTCTTATTATTTAATCTAATTCTAAATAAATTCTTATAGAATTCATATAAAAAGTTTTATAGAGCGCTGATAGTGTCAATAACGTACCTCTTTACTCTATTTTGATAGAAGGCTTACGAGAAATTTTATTTTCCACGCTTATTATTGCCTATCATAACATCTGTCATACTTTACCCTGTGAAAATCCATCACTATTTTTCGGTTTGCCATTTTGTGCGCTTATTTTTAAATAACACATTTTTATAACAGTTATAAATTGACAAACGCATGGTGTATTTATATAAAGATATAGATTAACAAGATAAGGCACTGACAAATGATGAATATTTCCTTATTCATGAATAGTAATGTAAATGAAAAACATGATGTTATTATCTTATTTTTAATAAGCTATATATTTTATAAGCTTCGCTTAAATAAAGCTTAACAAGACATGTAAGCTCAGTTTATTAACAGCATAAAAGAGGTCGAGCATGATGCTTATACCCACTTAATCCATCATTTGCTAAAATGCTCCATTTAGTTATCGCATAATCCGTTAACGTTAACGTTACTTTATTATTAAAGATTTATTATAAAAGAAACAAAACTACGTAAAGCTAGAGAATTCTTTTTTATTACTTATGTTCATATTGATTAAAGTTGTGTTTCACCGATATTTCTTAACTTAAAAACATGTTTACTTAAATACCATAAATGTCTCAAAATGAATTTTACACGCGATAGATGTATTCATAATAGTTCGTAATACAACTTTAGTTACTAAAGGCCGCGGTAAAATATGCAGATTATGTTAACGCACAGAAGACGTATTATTAAGAACTAGTAACGTAATTACTTGATTATTTCATTCTCAATTATTTAGATAACAAACAAGCTCTCATGTCTTGTTGATATCTAACGCCATTTATTGTTTATTTGCTAGAAAGGAGAGTCGTCATATACGAGATATAAATTTAAGCCTGCTTAGCAGCAATTCGAAAGATTGAAGACTATGAGGTTTAAAGAGATTAGTATTAGACTAGAAAAAATAATGTTGTTTATCCAATGTGAATCTTCGAAAAAGCCATATTTACAAAATGACATAGTCGTTAACTTTACCGATAAAGATAAACATTTCCCTTACAATGCTCATCCGTAATATGTTCATGATATTTAAGGTTAGCCTAATACTTGCGCTTTACGCATTTGTCAGGGTTCGACTCCACTGGAAAAAAAATTGCGTGATGAACATTATTTTATGATATCTGGACAACTATTTGTGTAACTTACAGATACCGTAAAATGGGGTGAATAGGGACAAAACCAGGAAATATTTTCGACGCCCAATATTAATTACCAAGTCGTTACAATGTTTATCATTTTTTTGTGCAATGATAGTAGATCTTTAGAACGGCTTATGGCAATACTAAATAGGCGCGAAATTAGCTGCAATCTGTCAAAAACTTCATTTGAAATTAGCCTCTCGTGCCGCCGTTTTTATCAGTGTTAAAAACTTTGCGCTTTAAAATTTATTTGAAAATAAGAGAGTACGAGTGTTTGTTATGTACGTTATTTAGTGTTTCGGTACCATCATATACATAAAAGGTAAGCTTCAGTTTTTAGTAAATATTCGTAAGAAATCTGTTGTTTTTGGGTTGAATGGGGACGTCTCAAGTATGAATAACGACGAAAGGGGGGTTAAATAGGATAAGAGCGAGGTGAATAGAAACGACTTATGTACGAATAGGTACAGCTTCGTAGGGTTGTGACTAAACAGTTTTAACGATTTTTGAATATATCTGGGTAATAATTTGGTTTCATAATATTTTTGATTGGAAGTTTTATTTCATAAATACGCAATTATTACTTATGTATGATTCTACGCTATACGTGTTAAAATAGTTATCGTGTTATTTTAGTGTTTGTGGAAGGAGTAGAAAATATTTATATTATCAATTATTCATTGTATATATTTTTTCAGATATGCCTCGCGTGTATATTTCACAAAGTTCAAAACCTTACAAGAGGTACGATCCCTTAGTATTTAAAACTGCAGTAGAAACTTAGGAAACTGGTAATAAATCTCTAGTTGAAATAGCTAAACAATTTAATATAGCTAAGTCTGTTTCACACAGACATGTAACAAGAACGATGAAACGTCAAGATGGTCAAAGATCTCTAAGTGAAGAAGCGGTATATTTTGCGCTAATACTAGCAAATAACTTTCTTATTAGGTGTTTATTTAGCCCAAAAGGAGTAAAAAAATCTTAAAATTAGAAAAATTTAGAGCTTAACCAAAGTAACGAGACGAACTATCTAAAATAAATTTGTCTCCGAAAGATTCCGAAAATATTTAAGCAGAAGCTCGAAAAGAGCGGCTTATTGTGCACTCTGGTGCATATACTGCGAGATGGGCTTCGGCTTGCTTTACAAGCTGTACACACTCAAAGTGCCAGATAGGCTCGTACACACCATCCGGGCCATTCCTGTCGGACCGCTCTTTTTGATATCGAGTCGAGGGCACCCTCTCCACAAGCCGCCACCTCACGGCCGGCGTACCACAAGGCGCCTGCCTCTCACCTTTGCTCTTTACGCTCTACTATAGCGACACACCTAAAGACCCCCATGTCAATCTCGCGCTTTTCGCGGATGACACGGCGCTCTTTATTCAGACTGTAACCTTAGTCAATTAACAACTCGACTCCAAAGCGCCGCCGACCGCCTCGACGATTGGTTCCGCAAATGGAGAATAGACATAAATCCACAAAAAAGTGTGGCGATTCACTTCACGCTGTAACTGTAGCCCCCCCCTTTATTTGCATATATATAATTAAACTTATATATATTTTTGCCCCGTTATATGAATAAATCATATAACATCATTACGTGACCAGGATAAATTATTGATCTTTCTATAGGATCTTTCTAAAGGTAATAAATAATTAGCCGTATAAATATTATTGTGATCGTCATGTTCGGTAGGACCTCATTTATGTTGTGTTTATTTAGTAACTTGATTCTTTTAGGTGTATCTTGGATAGATAAATATTCACTAGTTGTGGTATAAGCCCAGAGATAATGCCAGATTGCTTTCTTATTAACTAATCCCGACTCGCTTGAGACGGGCTCAGAGTATATAGTATACTCCCTCTCACACTTGTAAAGGGCTCACAATTTAATTTTAAACTAATATCCCTTCTCTCTTGAAAAGGGCTCACATCAATTTTACATACCCGATACAAGTTAACAGCTCCCCCACATTTTAAAAAAAAATGTAGGGAAGGCACACGGCTCCATGAAAACACTCACCAACGCCGTGTGCGGTGAGCGCCATCCAACATATTGCGCCCCCCCCCCCCCCCCCAGAAGAGGGACAAAAAGTTGGGGAAAGGACCGAAGTCCATTGCAAAGCTGTTTTACCAGCATAAAGAGGGCTTGGCCCCTTGGCAGTGCGTAAGCACAAACTTTGACCGAAGTCGCGCATGTCAATGCGTGTAACGTCATACAAGCCGACGACAAATCCAGTCTTCGTGAATGTACGGTCAATACGGTTTTGGGCATGTGTTAAAGATCAGGCACTCTGGCCCTATGATATAATAAGCCCTCCGTAAGCGCCACCACTTTTGCCAGATCGCCGCGACTGCAGACGTGATTGTTAGTGTTTTG